ACATGGATCCGTTTTCTTATAAAATTTTTGATATCTTTAGAAAATATAATATCAAAATAACGTTTAAAATAAACATGTATTTAAGTTCATTATTAATTAACACTAAAGACAAAATTTCACATACAGTGTGGAACAGCAAAATGGAATAAATTCGGTAATAAATAACTGGGGGGTGTTCGAAAAAACGTTCGAACACGTTGATTGGTATTTTTGATTGCGCATTTTTTAGACACATTTTATGTTCTATGTCCTATACCTAATAGTTTCGAAAATATTAAATGTTTTTCGATTTATTGCAAAAATTAACATTAATAAAATAAATTTTAAAGATATCTTTTTAGTGGAACACGTTCTCCCCGATAATGCGACACAGAAGGGTTGAAAGATTCAACATGTTTTCGAGCACTTTCTACAGAGCTCCGCCTTCTTTTACCATCATGCACGGTGACATTTGGCGAAACAAAAATCCTTCTCTCTTGCCAATTGATAGACCAATACTGCTTATTTATTGATGCTCGTTGATTCTCATTGAACAATGTTTTACATTTCCTATGGCATACAATGCATCCGGGTCGAATATAATGTTTATCTCGTTCCTTCTGAGCCTGTTCTTCTTTTCTTTCTTGTTTTGTTTTATCTTTTTCTCTTTCTCAGTTCTCCCTTTTTAGTATAATTTCCATCCGAAATTTCATTACAAGAGACGGCATTACTTTTTGAAGCTATGGCATTGGTTGATGCTACTGTTGTAATGCTCTAATTGATAAAAGTCAAATTAGTGTCTCTACAAGTGTCATCCGATTCTGATTAAACGCTTTCTTCTAAATCAGGAAGGCCGGCGTCTTTAAGTGAGTCATCCGATTCGGCTTGAAAACTCGTTAAAGCTTCACTATCGGTGGGTTCCAGTCTGACTGATTTTAAGTTAATATAATTTTTATCTTCTGTTTCTTCACTCTTGAACTCCCCATCATCAGAACTTAGATTTATGATTTCCATTGTCTGCACCATTTGTAAGATTTTTTTACCACGAGATTCCATGTTTTAAATAACTTTAGTGAAACTGTTAACAAATAATATGTGACAATAAAACTATTAGTAATCATCGAGTCAATAACAATACCTACCTAAAAAAAAATTAAAATGTAATAAATGTACGGTAATTCGATAATAAATAAACTGACAAGCACCGACACGCTTTAAACCCAAAAGATTTGTGGTGGGGGCATGTCGTGATAAAGCCATGTCGTTGGTGGATTACAAAGCAGTATATCCATTGTCTGTGGGATAAACTGCCTTTAAGGCTTGTGGAAGGTTCTTACTGCCTTTTAACTTAGAAATATTTATTAACAAGTTGAGTTGCTGCTATTTGTATAGTCTGCCAAAGCTTTCTAGCTTTGTAAAGTACTGTTATAATAGTATAAGAGGCCTACAGAAAAAGGAAGACCGAAAATGACACAAATTGGAGATATTCTTATTTAGGTCATTATTCAGCATCTCAAAGCCTCACTGGCAAGTTTTTACAGGAAAACGCCTTAAAAGTCTTGGCTACTTCTGGGACCACGAATTTCTGAAAGTTTCTAACTCATGTATATTTGAGATTATGGTTGAGACAAGATACTTTTGTTGAGTAGTTTTCGTTTCTGGTTACTATTATATCACTTTTTATTTTCCACATACAGTGCTGGCAAGATTGAGCCTCTTGTTTTGCTTTTTTTGTGTTGGAGTGAATAGTAAATAGTGTACGCATGTGCAAGAGAGGAAAGAATGTGGTACAGACATTGTAAGTTACCAATCAGTAGCAGGTTACCAATACGTGACTTCAACTATGAATGGCACCATTAATAATGCGTCTTTTTTTGCATGTGCAAGTTTCATATAATATTCACTGCAACACAAGCAAAGCAGGACTGAATAATTGATCTATCAACACTCTACATAATATCTTATATACCTAGTATTATTTCTAGTATTCAATTACATTAATTTATTAAATTATGACTATTGGCATAAATACATTAGTTTGGCTCACTTTAAAATTATTTTAAAAATATCCTTTAAAGTATTATTGAACGTATCCTCTAAATCATCGTTACTCAAAGTGTGGTCCGTGGAGCCCTGGGGCTTCCCAAAGAAAATAATAGTCGTAATATAAAGAAGCAGCACTATCGTTACAAAATGGAGAGACTTGGCTTGAGGACCTTTTTTTAGAACTCACTTTTTGCTTGGAGGGTCACCAATAGGGGAAGGAGGATGTGATTTGCCTTGGAGGACTGGCTCGATGCCTTTTTTTAGAGTCACTAAGAAGAATATGATTTTGCTCCGAAAACCTTTTTTTTTAGAAATGTGTTTAGGGCTTCGTCAAATATTTCGCATTTCAAAAAGGTTCCGTCACCAAAAAAGTTTGAGAACCACTGCTCTAAAGTATCCTTTAAAGTATCTTTTAAAGTATCCTCTAAAGTATTCTTTGAAGTATCCTTTAAAGTATCCTTTAAAGTATCCTTTAAAGTATCCTTCAAAGTATCCTTCAAAGTATCCTTTAATGTATCTAAAGTTTCCTTTTAAGTACCCGAAAAAGGATCCAGATATTTATGTCCGAGTACATTTTTAAAAAGTGTCCAGACACATTGTAAATACTTTTTTCTTATAGCCGACCCAACTTTGTACCGCCTGACGTATAAGGAACCATCGTAAAAAGTGAATTGTTAGTAATTTTTTAATTCTAATGTAGTTACTTTGACTTGTATCCATATATGTACAGGGTGTAACAAAAAAGTAGGTCATAAATGGAATCACATATTCTGGGGTCAAAAATAACTCGATTAAATATAACTTACCCTAAAGCAAATGTGCACACAAAAAAAATTACAGCCCTTGGTAAATACAAAACGAAAATCGATAATTCCAATAGTTCATAACTGTTTAACATTTTGTAATGCTAATTGATACATGGTGTTTTTTTCACATAAAACCACGAAATCTGTACAGCCCATAAACATTTTAGGGTGGTTTTAAACCCCTAAAACCCCTCAAACTTTTTAATGAAATACAATTAAATTAGAATTGTGATATCATTGGCTTAACACATCATTTTTTAAATTTTTTGCCTCCTAGCACTTTTTCGAAAAGCCAGTTATTTTTGAGATTATGCTTCAAAAATTTTGAATTTGGCTGTTCTACACTTGTAGTTTCTACGGAAAAATATCAAACAGTTGCTTTAAAAATTACATACTGTCAATTGAAGCTTTTGAATATTGTGTATTTTAAGAGTTAATAAAAATTAAACTTTCTTTTACAATGGTTTACACGTTTGCAGAAATGGCAGATACGCATTTAATTCAGAGTAAGTTTGGTCAGGCTAAAACACGGTTTCAGATAATTATCTGTAATTTTGGTAATCACAGGTGAATGCCAAGGGAATAGTGCAGCAGCTGCAAGGCGTTATATGGAAAAATATCCCAATCGGAATAGACCAGATAGACGATTTTTCTTTCCATTGTACTCGTCGTTTATGGGAGATGGGTACTTTGTCACCGCAACTTGCTGGTAATAGTGGTCGTCCATAATGGTTACTAACGATGAGGAGATTTTAGAATTAGTCGAAGAAAACCCTGGAAGCAGTATAAGGGTAATAGCTGCGCTCAATTAGATGTTGGTCACATGATGGTTTGGAGAAGATTGAGATAAGAGGAGCTTCATCCATATCACTTAACAACTGTTTAAGAATTACTAGATGAAGATTATTCTAAAACAATGGGATTTTGCGACTGGTTCTTAACGAAAACAAACGAAATATTAATTTCATTATTAATATTTTGTTTACTGATGAAGCTACCTTCAATAGAAATGGCATTACGAATTACCATAACGAACACAAATGGGCCAAAAAAAAAAACGCAGGCAAAAACAGTGACTCATCACCAAAGGACTTCTAAAGTCAATGTTTGGGCAGGCATTGTGAATAATATAATTTAATAGGACCAATGTTTCTTCCAAATAATTTAATTGGTGCAAATTACTTGCAGTTCTTACAAAATGATTTACCAGAATACTTGGAAGAGGTAAATTAAGAAAGAAGGCAGAACATGTATTATTTACAAGATGGAGCTTCTACACATTTCGATAACGAATTAAGGGAACATCTCTTCGGTCTGTACCCTGGACTTTGGATTGGAAGTGGCCCTAAATCACCTATTTCTTGTCCAAGTAGAATTCTAGATCTGAACCCTATATACTTTTGTTTCTGGGGTTTTATGAGAGAGGACATGTATTCTGTTGAAATAATCGACGTCAACTAACGCATTGAATCATTGAAAGTGCTAATCAGTTTCATCAGAAGCCAATGATGATATTCAGGAAAATAGAGGCCGTTTTGATCATTTATTATAGTAAATACTACATATTTGTACAAATAATTTATACCTGTGAATAACATGAATACTTAGTTAAAACCTACTTCTTTTTACTTAAAAATTTTGAAGGATAATGAAAAAGTCCGCATCTCTATAAAAACTGGCTTTTCGAAAAAGTGCTGAGGCAAAAAAATATTTAAAACTGATGTATTAAACCAATAGTGTTATAATACTAATTTAATTGTAACGAATAGAACAGTTTGGGGGGTTTGAGGGGTTCAACCCCCCCCCCCCCCTTTTATGAGTTGTACAGATTTCGTGGTTTCATATGAAAAATATATTTTCATTACAAAATGTTAAACAGTTCATTAAATATTGAAAAAAATCTATTTATATTTTTTACTTTCTGAAGGCTATAACATTTTCTATGTGCACATGCATTAAGGTAAGTTCAATCGAGTTATTTTTGAGCCCAGATTATGTGGTTCCACTTATGACCTATCTTTTCGTTACACCTTGTATATTTAGGTTTAATGTCTAGTTAGTGTATTTATCTATTTTTCTGTGTATTTATTTGCTTTTGTTTCTTAATAATTGTTTTATTTTTTTACATTTTGGTTTTTTATTTGTTATACAGTACATATTTTCTTTCAGATCGCCTGGTGCTGGAGGAAGCTACTTGGGGGACGTCAACGTCTCGGCCATTTTGGATTCCTTTAGTGTTAGTTACGACAAGAGAGTAAGACCGAATTACGGAGGTGAGTCGTTATGCACGGTAAAATTATTTTTACGTTTTTGTTTTGTTTTTCTTTTGTTGGCGTCTGCGTTCGCCCGGTCAGATTTTTCAACTATCGAGTCAGATCTGAAAAATGGTTTAAAATGTTACCTAATAATTGTAGAAGTATTTGTTAAAAACGAAATTTAAATTTTTATGTCATGAAACTGAAAATGTATAATTTGTTGTTATTATCATCTTTTAATAACGGTAATTTTTAGTGTTTAAAAGAATGTGAACTAGATTTAAACATACGACAACCATACTGAGTAACAGTGAAACTAAGGCCACGTTTATATCTCTTTTATTTATTAAACAATTTGGTATACATTTATGACAAATCTACTAGACATAATTTTGAATTTACATCATGCACCTCTTTCATTATTTTTTTTTTGTAATTAACAATAAAATAGTTTAACATAAGGTGCAGACTTTTGGCAGACACTGTATAATACCTAATGTTTTTGTGAGTAAGGTTATCAGTCCTTTTTGTGACGAATGACTCTTATTATCTCAAAAATACTTAATATCTATATTCTTCTTCATTTTAAGTTTGTTCTTTAAAACAGATATTTCTTATATACCTTATTAGCTCACAAATAAATAAAAAAATTATTCCATCTCAAATTTAATAGAAATTTTATAGTAAGCACTAAAAATCAACCTATTTTATTATTATTGACAAAGACTTCTACAATTCTCGCTGACATATTTAACTACCCGTACTTTATACGGATTATCTCCAAACCATCGTAAATTTTTTCAGACCTGGCAACGCGGCCGTCAAACCAGCGTCGCCGCGACCGCGTGGTGGCCGGGCGGACGTTGCCCCTTGCGCGAACCGCGACGCCGGCAGGGTGGGGTCGAATCGATGCTCGGGAGGGTTGCTAGGTAACGCGCGCTATTTTTGTTCTGCTCCAGACCGTCATCGCTTCTCCATCGCCTCCTTTGCCAAGAGCCAAAATACAACGTTCCGTTACTCCCGCTGACCAGATGCGGCCCGATAACCGGAAGAGGACGGCGCTTTGCAATTTTGAGAGAATCGAATAGAACGATGTATTATTTATTAATCGAATGGATAAATAATAAATCGGATTGTAAATAGATATATACGGGGTGTAAAAATAAAAATTCCTCGGCCAGATATTTTACAAAGGAATGGAGATATTTTAAATTCAGTAAAGCCAGTTTGCAGAGGATTAAAGGAGCTTCAGTTTTAATATAAATTGATTTTAAAAAGCATACTCGTACATTGTAGAAAATACATTTTTTTGCAGATTTTGTTCCATGAGCTAACTCGATAAATCTAGTCATTTTCGATATATTTGAAGTCCAAAAATTGATTTTTTCACACATATTTTTGTACGATATTGAAAACAATACTGATTTTGCAAATGGTATCTACCAAAACTGAGGTACTAAGAGACTGTGCAAACTGATTTTTATATAATTAAAATATCTCTATTCCTTTCCAAAGTATCTGGCTTGAGTTTTTATTGGTTCACCTTGTATAGGGTGTTATATGCCGTTTAGTTTCCTTTTAAATACTGGTTAGCTATGAAAATTTGACATATCTCACGGTGTTTATTATTAATTAATATCATCTTAATATTAATTAATACATGTTTTAAATGAAAACTTCTCAGAATTAGAAAAAATTATAATCACTTCATTTTTTATATTGCTCATCTTATTAGAAATATCATCCTGTATATGATTAAATAGAGAATATAACATTTACTAAAATCGGGGGGAAATCTGGGTGCGCTAACATACCAAAGAAAATTTGAAAATGTAAAAAAATCGGTTCTGGGCAAGGCGAGGTTCGAGTACCGCCTAAAGCAGAATTTTTTTTAATTTTCAAATTTTCTTTGGTTTGTTAGCGCACCCAGATTTCCCCCCGATTTCTCTAGCATTTGTTTCGGCAATTTAAAGTGACAAAATTTTCACAATAAACCATCATTTTCAATCAAATTTCTAAAATATTGTTATATTATTTGATGGCACGTTCATGACTTTTTTATTGTAAATTTTTAAAATAGCTCCTAGAAACTACTCATATTATTCCAATAGGAAAATGATCATTTGTACAGGACCGGGCGCGCTTTGTAATGAATATTTATAGAAATGTTAGATTAGCAGTTTATGTAACAGAACAAACTATTAGACAGGAACGTGCCTTAAAACAGGACTAGAATTTTAAAATGAACCCCTTGCACGTTTTATTAGTGTATTTTGTAACAAGGTTGACATTTTTATTCCAACAGAGTAACAGACTCTACTTTCTCCACGACTATAAAGTTGAAGTTAAATACAGTCTATCTCTGCAACCGTGTATTGTACTCCAAAGAAAAAACACATTAAAACTGGCCACTTAAATTATTTGCATAACTTGTAAATTATAAAATGTATACAATGAGTCCTAACTTGATTTTTTTAAACTGTGTATAATCCTAAAAAAAATATTTTTCAAATAACTCAAAAACAAGAAAAATGCAAAATTAAACAATCTAAATCCGGGTCTGGACTTATGTATCAAAAATTTAATTAAATGTTTATGTTTCTATCTGTTTCACCTTTTCATTTTCTTTTTTATGTATAAATCATGCTTAATCGGTTATTTTAATTTAGTCTTGTGTGATTTTAATAGCGTTTATATGACAACAATAAAGTTGTGAATATATTGTTTATTTATGGAGTGTCATTTCATAGTGCATGTATCAAATTACTGTATCGGTGATGTATAGTGAATACTTTACCTTGCGAGCCTATTCTAGTCTCAACTTGTGTTAATCTAAAGATTACGATTTTTGTGAGATTTAAACTGTACAGTCCATCGATTCAATCCATAACTCAACGTGAAGTGCTCGATCTGACTCACATGTGGCCTTTTCTCTTTTGTCCTCTTTGGGTGATTTGCAGTAACATTGTAGAGCACATGTAGGAAGACAAGAAGTGCGTTTATGTTAAAGGGTGTTTGTATTGAGGTAAATGGACCACTTTGAATACATTAGTTAAGTTATACAGAACCGTAATGGATACAGTTTGGAATAAATTATTGTAAACTTCTTATTTTTGAGTTTTTTAAAAAAAGTTATTAAAAGAAATTGTTTATTTTAATGAGTTTCTTATTACACGTTTACTTAATCAGCTTAGGATACACCTTGTAAAATAAAAATGTATGCAAAATGCGGGTGGCACAAAATTGATCGAAAACATTTGATCGATTACATTTGATCGAAAACATTTGATCTAAAAAATATTTTATCGATTTACAATGGATCGAAAAGAAAAATGATCGAACAGAAAAATGATCGAAAATAACAATGATCGAAAAAAAAATTGATCGAAAATAGATTTAATAGAAAAAAACAATGATCGAAAAACCAAATATACATAAAACTATAGAGAAATGAGAAAAATTAAAAAAAAATTTAACTAATTTACCTAACTTGTGCGGCCTAGAATCATCGCAAAAAGAAATGTACAAAAAATGAGAAAATAAAAAACTTAACTAACGTACCTAACTTGTGCGAGAGCAATCAGTTAAATTTAAATAGCACAGGTTTGGTAAATAAGTTAATTTTTTTTGTTTTCCTCATTTTTTATAAAAAAAATTTACGAGGCAAACCGCGACTGCTCCAGACCGCACAGGTTAGGTAAGTTAGAAAAGTTACTGAAGTTTTTTTTATTAAAAACTTAACTAACCAATGTGAGAGCAATCAGTTATAATAAAATTGCTCCAGGCCGCACAGGTTAGGTAAAATTTAATTTTTTTTTTATATTTCCCAGTTTTCTATAAATTTTTTGCAAGGCAAATTGCGACGGGTCCAGGCCCCACAGGTTAAGTAAATTAATTAATTTTTTTACAATAAAAAAAATTTAACTAACTTACCTAACTTATGCGTGAGCAATCAGTTAAATTTAAATAGCACAGGTTAGGTAAATTAGTTGTTTTTTATTTTTCTCATTTTCTTATAAAAAAAATTGCGAGGCAAACCGCGATGGCTTCAGACCGCATAGATAAGGTAGGTTAGTTAAGTTTCTTTATAAAAAAAAAAAAAACAACCGAACTATCTTACTTGTGCGCGAGCAATCAGTTAAAATTAAATTGCTCTAGGCCGAACAGGTTAAGTAAATTAGTTATTTTTTTGTATATTTTTTTGCGAAGCAACCCTCAGCAGCTCCAGGCTGCACATGTTAGATAAATTATTTTTCATTTTTTTGTAAGTTTTTTGGTAGGCCAACCGCGACGACTCCAGGTCACACAGGTTAGGTAGATTAATTAAATTTACTTAATAATTTACCTAAAATGTCCCATCAGGAGACAACTTGACCTTATTGAAATACATATTTAGTGCGAATTTATCAGAATTCTTTAATCTCAATGAAGATAAATAACCGTTTAGCTCTAAAATATTAATTTTTAAATTAACATTATTGTAAGGATAAAATATGTAGCGAGGTAGCTATCGTTTGAGATTATCGAAAAATTTGCCATTAGTACCTAATTTTTATAGCCACCGAGTTTGGTTTCCCCGGAAGTAGGGATTAGATGGACGGTTGCATGGTGTATGATTTTTTTAATATTTTACTATTTGTAATGTTGATTTTCGATATATTGTCCTTTCGATCCAATGCATTTTCTAACTATTGTTTTTAGATAAAATGTTAGTCGATAAAATATATCTTCGATCAAATGTTATTCGATCAAATGCCATTCGATAAAATGTATTTTTGATCAAGTTTCCAATTCGATCAAATGTTTTTCGATCAATTTTGTTTCACCCGCAAAATGCATAAGATGCAGAAAAAGGTTAAAATTAATTTCAGCATAAATATATTCAGTAATTGTCTTGAAGAAAAGGTTCATTAATCGATTTATCATTTACTGGATTGATTTTAATGTTGTCACATACATTATTAATTTTGCTCTGCTATTAATTTTCTTGTTGAACATCTTTCTTTAAAGTGTGCTAA